TGCAAGCTATCACTAGGATAATTAAAACAGACAAAAATATACATCAGTATTTCCATTTCATTATCAACTGAGAAAGACTTGAGACAGAACTGTGTATGTTGGTACTTGAGATGTTTTTGGTTTGCTCACATTTGAGATGTATTTGATCACTGTGCTTGTGTAATGCAACAGAGAACTTATATTATGCATGCCTGTTTTCTCTTAAGCCTTGCTACAAAGAAATCAGACATCACACACAGAACAGGCTCCTCAGAGTATCTTCTACCCTCAAAGAGAAAATCTATTATTTCTCATTTTATAGAAATAGAGGACAGAATTGCTTCGGCAAATGATGATTCCAAATGGTAGCAGAATCCTGTAGAGAAGAAGGCATCAAGGCAGGACTACACGAGAATTATCTAATTCAAGTCCTACAATAAAGTTGTTTAGCAATAAAGATCTTTTGAAAAGCTGTAGTTCCTACAAACATGGGGTATTATTCATAATTTATGATCAAAACAATCTTGCTTAGAGATTTGGAAACAACTAGACCCACACCATCTTTTAAGAAATAATCTCTGCAGGGCACCTGGGTGGCTCAGTGGGTTAAGTATCAGATCATGATCTCACAATTCATGGGTGCAAGCCTCAAATCTGAGCTGTTAGCTCAGAGCCTGGAGCATGCTTCAGATTCTGTCTCCCAATCTCTCTCTGCCCCTCCCTCACTTGTGTGCGCTCTCTCTCTCTCCCTCAAAAAAAAAAAAAAAAAAAAAAAAATCTCTGAAATAGGCAAGAATCTTGCCTTAGACCTCATGTAAAAAAACTGGAAGAAACATTAAAAAAAGTTAATTTAAAGCCAGGGAATCAAAAGCCACATGATGTAGCATCTTCCTAAGAAAAGCAGACCAGCACATATCCTTCCCCATGTTTGCAACAGAAAGAACACACAAAAAAATAAAGACTTAAACACTCTCTCTCTCTCTCTCTCAAAAAAAAAAGTATGTGACTCTTAGGAAAACCAAAGTGTATTATGGTGAGGCAAGATTCATCATTTTTTTAAAACTCAAGGCCAAGGTCTTCCTTATCAATTATTTCTGCTTCTTCTTATTCTCTCCTTCAAAAGGTTTTGCAAGGATCAGATACGGTACACATGAAAGGGCTAAGTAAACTATTAGACCCTATAACCAATGTAAGTGGCATTATATATTTTTTACCATTATTTGTTATTACATTGATCAACTGAACTACTGCCATGCTGACAATCAATTTTTGGCACTCGATCTTTCTAATAAGATCCTAAGTTCCTGGACGGCAGATGCCCAAGTAGCATAACAGGGAACACTGTTGTTAGGAATACTAACACTCAAAGGTCACCCAAATATCTTTTGGACTGAATTGAAATTGACTCCAGAAAAGAGCAGATGTTCAATAAAAAGGTTATAAACAAACAAATAAACAAGTAGTAGTTGCCCAATGCACATTTGCTCAGATTTTCAGTTGTCTTTTATTTTTCTCTTCTAGTTTAGTAGGTTAGAACTCCAGTAATGTTCCTTTCCTCCCTCTCTTCTAGCTCCCCACAGAATCAGATGCGGGAAGAAAGCACCACCCTTTATGTTACTGTCAGTTATAAGCATAAACTGTCACTGAAAAAATGCTCAACACAGAGACAGCACAACTCCTAGGTGTTCCTGTGTGTGTGTGTGCGCGCGCGCGCACATGTATAATGGGGATGTGGCAGTAGAAAGGAACTAGCAGAGCCAGAAGAGATGACAGAGACAACAGAGAAGAGGGAGGAGTGGGATAAAGACAGAAAGATTCCAAAGACCTTCTGGGAATCTGGAAGAAATCTCCCCTGCAGTTAGGGGCAGTCAGTAAAGTGCCAGCCTTGATTTTACAATGTGTGAACTCCTAAAATATATTCAGCCATACAAAGTTTTAAAAACCAGACTGATGAAAGAGAAACAACTCAGAAAAGCTTTAATTCATAGAAACACAGCTAAAAGCAACCAGACTCCTGCGATAGCTGGTAAGCAGTCTTCTGAGGATCCAAGCAAGAGAGTATACATACACTGTCTTGGCCTCAAAGTGGTCACCTCACTACTTGTTGGTGGACTTAACGCTCTTTCTTGACTAATGCAGTCTTCAAAACAAAACAAAACGAAACAAACCATATTCTTTTAATAAGGAATCATTTTTAAAACCTGAGATCTAGATTGCTGCATTAAGAAAAGAAAATTAGACGTATACCAAAGATGGTATTGCCACTAATCAGTAGTCTAAATTGGGTATTGGAACTTCAAACAGGTAGGCTTATTTTAAGATCTAAATGTACCCGCATGAAAGTCACTACAAGAACACAAGTTTAGCCATTTCAGCATCTGTGGGGGCTGAACTGTAATTTTGGAGTATTTTCACTGGACCTTTAACAGACAAAGATGTAACTTTTATTTCTGATGATCTCCCCCATCCTTCCCTTTGTAAAAAATGAAAAATACTGCTAGACGAGAATGGTGAAAAAATACAGCAAAACACAAGATCATAAATGCAATGTTTTCTAAATGTATGCAACTTGAAATTCTCATAATCTGACAATTTACACGCAGGCAGTGGCTTTTATGTAAGTCCCCAAACCGCATTTAAATATCCTATCGTGACATCCCTAAAGATGCATTCGTTTAACAAGACAAAAATGATGAAGGATCCATCTTGCTTATCCTGTACCGCTTTGTGACACAAACATGGGATTTGTTTCCTATGTGTACTTTCACAAGCCCTCCAGCAGAGTAGTTCTTTAGCCGTCACTCTTTCAAAAATCCTTCTCATGAATGTGGTACTCCTAAAGGACAAACTGTCCTTTCTCCCTTGATCATCCTTCTGCTTTAAATTACCAATATAATATCCCTCCTAAGTGAGTTTTTAAAAACCTTTCCATGAATCTTATTTTTTCCTTTTAAGTAAAACCATTACCCTCAGCTACTAAAAGCGCAGATTCTGCTCTTCACGTTAAAAAAAGCTGCTCGCCCATAATGCTTGCCTCAGAAAATTTCGAAGTCTCACTAAAAAGCTGGGGGGCAGGGGGGGGAGGAAGCTGCTGGGGATCTTCACAGATACCTGATTTAACAAGGTTCTGTGAAAAGAGCTTGCCTTTAGATTAGCATTACTCAATGTTTATGAGGGTTGTTTGTCAAGCCAAAAATAAGGTGCCTCCTCCCCACAAATTAAAAGAGTCAAGTTACAATCCATTATTTCATTTCTGATTGTTTTTCTTTGCAATAAGTAGGAAAGTGGATACTGGATAAAAGTCTTCTCAGAGCTAAAAGACTCCACATTAAAGGCTTCATTTAGCTATAAATCAGTTGTCTTTTCCTACTGGCGGAGAACAAGAGAAAAAGGGAGCAGAGGTATCTGGAGAAAAAAGAGAACTAGAAGAGCTTCCAAATTAAATTTCAAAATACCCTTTCCAGGGCTGTGAGGAAAATCGCAATCAAAAGCCTAAAATCGAACATTATCAAGCATGAGAATTTAGTCCTGTCTCACGGGGAGATCTTGAATCTTACGACCTTTAAAGAGAGGCTGGAGAGGTTAGCGACCCTCATAAAACAAAGCGTTTATGCTGTATACTTTCCCTGCTTGTCCCCAAACCCAGAGATGTGCCACTCATTGGCACTATTGTTATGCAAACAATGCCTAAATGGCTGTAACCGTTAACGACCTCCCATTAAAATGGCTTTCAAAAATTTGTCACACCATCTAAAAAAGCTAACAGGTATGTCAAATTCATCATGCATTGGGCACTCAGAACACCAATCACCTTGATTTGTATCCGAAAACTCAATGCAATTAAAATTTCAAAACTCGGATATTTAAACAATTTCTCTTTCAACCACTAAGCCAGAACCAAACAATACAGTTCTCAACAAATTTAGTTGATCTTGTTATCAGCATGATGGTAAAGAACTTTAACCGTATTGTGCGCGCAGTACGTACGCATTTAAGTTTATCGGGAGAAATTTGGGGTAGAAATCAACTGATCAGAATAGAAAAACAAGAGAACTGTAAATATGAGCTCCAAGCAACGTGACATTAAATCCCATCTTTCTCCCCCCAACCATGTTATAACTTTATAATCACCCCCCCGTATCTAATCAATATTTTTTTCCTGTGTGGAATTCGTAGGAAGTAAATTCAATGTATATTAATGAAGGTAGCGCACGCACATCTTTTTTTTATATGGCACAGCAACAACAAATCGTGCTTGGCAAACTCAAAATGTCAGAGTTCGTTATAAAAAGAAAAAAAAATGATTTCTTTTCAGTCCGAGAGCGAGCCCGTTAACGCGCACCAATTTCGAGAGTTTTCGCGTTGTCCCGGAGAACTGCCACCGCCTACAAAATGCGAACGGAATGCCTATGCCGGAGCCGCCGGCAGCCAGCGGCCAGGTTTCGGCGCGAAGAGTAAGGGCGGCCCGAGCGTCGCGCTCCTGGGCAGCCCCTCGCGGAAAGCCGCTCCGCCCCGCGGCCTTCCGAGGACCGAGGACCGAGGACCGAGGACCGAGGACCGAGGACCGAGGACCGAGCGGAACTAGCGCCCAGCGGGCCCGAGGGCGCAGGGCCGCCGGGAAGAGCGGCCGCGCTGCGTGGCCCACCTGGCGGGAACCCTTTTTCCCCACTTGAGTCGAAGCGGAGCCGACGCCTCGTCCGCGGCAGTCCGGACCCCGAGACTCGGATCAGGAGGCAGCTGCCGACGCGGCGTGGGTGAAGAGCCGTTGATCGCGACCCCAGCGCCGCGCTTCAGGTGGGGGCCGGTCCCCGAGGCACCCCGAGTCCCCGGCAGGCCTTCGGAAGCCCCAATCCCGAGGACCGGGCGTCCCTCAGCTGCGAGGGGATCACAAGCTGGGCCCGGGCGCTCCGCCGTCCCGGCTCCTGACCCCGTCACGCCGCGCTAGTCCCCTAACAGACCAGGGACAGGAAGGAAGGTTCTAGAAAGCCTGGGTGGACGGCAGGTCTTCGTCGGCCGCTTACCTTGGTGTACTTGATTTCGAGGTTGGGCGTGGGCGACGGCAAGAGGTGCAGGGACGCCATGAGGGCGGCAGGGTCGGCCTTCACCTCGCCAGGCATCTCGATCTTACTGGAAGTCATGGTGGCGGGTCGAGGTCTCGCTCGCCCGCGGCGTGGGCTGTGCGGGCTGTGCGCGCGGTCCGCGGTCCGGGGGCGCGCTCGCCTGTATATAGGCAGGTGTCAAGCTGGGGCTCTTCTTATTGGACGTGAGGGCCGAGGCGCGGGGGGCTGGTCCATCCTACCTAGGACGCTCGGGCGCAGCCCGGATTTACATAAAGCCCGCCGCGCGCGTAGCGCAATCCGCTCGCTCCGCGTCCACGGTCAAGTGCGCCCGGCGACTCCCCCGGGCGTGGGGACAAGCCACCGCCGCGGCCACCGACGGCCAGAGCCCGATCCGCGCCTTGGCCTCTCGGGGCTCGAAGAGCGGGACCCGCTTCGCGCCCGCCCTGGCGGCCGCGGCGGCGGGGGCGCACCGCGGCCGATGTCGGGCGTGGGTCGTAGCCCTAGAAGCGGGACGGGCGGGGGCTGACGCGGTGTCGGTGGAGTTAGCTCCCGGGGCTCAGAGCCCCGCTCTTGGGGCGCCAAGCGGGCTCGGCAGAGGTTGGGGCGCGTCAGGAGCCCCTCCCCCTCGCGTCCCGGGGCCCGCAGGACGGGCGCTCCCTTTCTCTCCCCGAGACCCGGGGGGCGCCCTCCGCTCTCCTTCCTCGGGCAGGCGGCCTCGCACACACCCACGGCCCGCAACCGAGCCGGAGGTGCACCGCGGCCTCAGGGTCCGGGTCAGGCGGCGCTGAGTGCGAGTCCCTCGCCCCACACTTAAAGTTGAGTATCCCTGCAACGCAGGCGACTCGGCGCTGCCCTCGGCCGGTTTTCCCGCCCAGCTGCTGCCCTCTGCCGGCCGGGACCGCCGCGGGCGGCCTGCTCTGCGCCCCAGGACGAACGAGGGCTCAGTCTTCGACGCAGTTGAAGGGTTTCATTGGCTCCTCTTTCTTCTCGGAGCCCCCCCCCTTCCGGCCTCCATTCTCCTCGCCCCCAAATAACACAAGGATATATACTTGTTTTGTTTTTATGTTGTTTTTCACGCCAATGGGTGAATGTCCCGCCAGACATTGGGTTCCTCACTTTACTGCCCCTTTGGGTTTGAACTTCTGTATTTGTTCGGAATGTACAACGTACCTTGAATGTAGGTGTTTACGTACTCCCAGCAGGCCATCTATTAGCTTGTGGCGTGCTAGAGGTCAGCATATAAGTGTACGTCAAGAATCCAGAGATCACATCCCAGAATGGGCTTTGGGCTGAGTGGGCCAAATCTGGGCTTCAGATAAAAAGACCTTTATAGATCAAGTTTGCTCGTCACTTCCAGTGCGAGCTGGACAGAGGCCTACTGACTCTTACCTTAAATGCCATTTCCAGAGCCCTTAGAACTTCATTTCTTTGGCTGTTGCCGGTCATCCTGAAGAGATCTCGCCTTAGATACTTTCCCTAACTAAAAGTGCCTAACGCTCAGTGCCTGGATGCTAACCAACTGAAGAAAATAGACAAAAATATTTTAGTATTAAGCCTATAGAAATAAATTCCAGTCTCTCAGAACCCAAAGTATCTACCCAAGTTTACCGGAGTGAATTACCTCAGCCGAGACAATAGAAAGATCTCAAATCACGGGGATAATTATAGCCAAAAATTGTATTTTAGTTAACAGTATATGTTCATGAGATAACAGGGTCTTTGTGGGTTTTTTTGTTTTTTTTTTACAGCTTAGAGAGTTGGAGATACAACTGAGGAATCAAAATAGTAATAATAATAATAATAACTAATAATAAGGTCCAAGAGTTAGTTGGGGAGAGAAGGAGAAGGTAGTAAGTAGCAAGGGGAATCAATGGTGTTTGTGGAACAATTCTGCAAACATGTTTTGCAAGGCGCAGTTCTAGAGGCTGGGTTACAAACAAAATGGATAGCCCTTGTCGTCAGTGAGCAGGAATCCCCTCCCCACAGGGAGGTAGGCCACTGACTATGCGGGGCTGTAGGGAAAAGTTACAACCATATGATCTGGGACTCCAGTAAGGAAGAGGTCAGCTCTCTGTGAACACTGGCCTTTGAGCTGGACCTTAAAAGGAGAGGAGAGGGGATGGGGGCAGCGCCTGGGTGGTTCAGTCGTTGAGCGTCCCACTCTTGATTTCGGTTCAGGTCATGATCTCACTGTTTGCTTGTTCAGGGCCCACTTTGGGCTGTGCTGACAGCATGGAGCCTGCTTGGGATTTTCTCTCTCCTCTGTCTGTCCCTCCCCTGCTCAGGCTCTCGCTCTCTCTCAAAATAAAATAAAATAAAGGAGAGGTGGAGCTTCCTTCCACAGGGGAAGAGAGGACAGAATAGGCAGTAGAATGCGCAAAAGCAAAGGCATAGAAATTGGAGAATGCTTCGGTGGGGGTGGGGGGAGGGGAATCACTGTGGCTGGAGGAGCAGCAGCAGATGAGGCTGGCAAGGCAGTTGACTCAGGTTGTAAGGACCTAATTCTTCAGACACTAACAAACCATCAAAAGAGGCACACCTGGGTGGCTCAGTCAGTTAAGCGTCTGACTTCAGCTCTGGCCATGATCTTGTGGTTGGTGGGTTCGAGCCCACTGTCCAGCTCTGGGCTGACAGCTCAGAACCTGGAACCTGTTTTGGATACTGTGTCTCCCTCTCTCTCTCTCTCTCTCTCTCTGCCTCTCACATGCTGTCTCTCTCTCTCTCTCTCAAAAATGAACATTAAAAAAAAGAAACCATCAAAAGATTTTGAGGATGAAAAAAGGGAAATCTGTATAATTTAAACAGTTAAATGAATACTCTCGGGAAAGATTGTCATACAGTAGAAATCTATGAGCTATATTCTATTCAAAGCATGAGACAGACTTGTTCATCCTTGAGCCAGCTCCTGCTTGCAGACTCTAGTTCTAGTACCGTGGCTGGAAAATCTCTCCCAGGGAAGCAGTATGGAATTATTAACCTTCATCACACAGTGAGGTAGAACACATAAAGAGATCCCCCTTCTCCAGGCAGGAAAGGGATCTCTAAGCTTTTCCTCATAAACAGCTCCAAAAGGTCTAGTGCCTTTTTTGTCCAATTCAAGATGGGGGACAAGATTCAGCAGAAAAAAACAGTGAATTATAATTACTTTTTCAGAGTATGTTTTCTTTGCTCCTGTTCATGGGACTTTCTCTGCTGTAACTCACTTGTAAGGCTGCTTTAACCTCTCTTCCCACATTCTTAGTCTTCCCTTTTCTTCTCTTTCCTTCACTATCTTGTTTTATTATTTTCTCATTTCCTGTATGGATTTCACAGTGGTTAAAGTGGCGATCTTCCCCACCACTACTTTTTGATATCTAGCATTTTGAATTTCAGTCTTTTCCATGATTTGGTTAAGAAACATTTTTTCCCACCCTTATAATGTTTCCTTCTCCCACCCTCTCCCATCTGTAATTATTTATTGTTTAGGATACATGCTGTTTATAAAACCCCTTGCACAAGGGAACACAGGCTACAGCATGATCTATTTCCTTGTGAAAACAATTTATTAGGCCTGGTGGAGCCAATATCCTGGAGTTGTAGAGGAGAAAAATAAATTCTTGCCTCATATTTCCTCACCTAAATAATAGAATGCAAAATTGTAATTTTAAGGCATTTGCCTTATGTGAGGTTTGATTTTTTTTTTTTAAGGTTTGAAACTAGAGCAATTTAGGATTTTTTTTTTTTTTTTTTTTTTTGGAGTTATACAGGAACAAATTGACAAACATGCTTTAGAAAATCAGTGAAGGAAACCGAATGGAGCACAAAGATTCCTCCCAGCCAAGGAACATTTTTGGTTTTGACAATAACAATGTCCAGCTTGAACTTCAAGCTTCCATGTTCAGGGGCTATTTCAGCCTCAGGTGGCCCTGCTTAATTGCCTTCCTGTTCCCATTACTAACCATGATGACAGCCCACCTTTTGTAACAGATATACTCGCATTTTAATTTATCTGCAAAAATAAATCACACATTATAGCATTTCTCTCTTCTGGGTTAATTGAATCAGTTCCTTAAATGTCTCTAAGTCTAATGATTTAAAAGGAGCACATTGTTTGAAATATTTAAAAAATTAGGGCCCTTGGGTTGTATGCAGAATGATCTCAGTGCTTATTTCAGATATAAGTGTTTCCTAATGATCTCATTCATCTCAAACGGGATATAGGCTCAGCTACTTTATTTAAAATGTTTCCTGAAAACTCTAACAGGAAAGCTTAATGCAAAGTATATTTATAGAGAAATGGTATTTAATTTATTAACAAAAGCTTATAAAGACCTTTACGTATTTTTATCCAGAAATGCTTAATGAAGTATTTTAGACCCATTATAAATACTTGTGTAAAACAAATTCACTTATAGTTTTATTTAATGTGAATATTAACTTTTAATTTAGGGTCTAAGCACTCATTTAATTATCCTGTTGCTTCCAACATTTAGAAGAAAGGAGGCTGGGACTGTGGCATTTATTAACCATAAAAATTCTCTACGTATTAAGTCCTTCATACCCCAGTGTGGCCTCTGGTCACTGTATTATATGAAAAGGGGTATTTATGGTTTCAAGGATTAGATTCCTAATTGGTTATGACTCCAAAAATAATATTTTGATACAAAACACACTTCTTTCCTTGTAAAATATATTCTCCACCTTTTGGGAGCCCCAAGAGACTATTTTAAAAGTGGAAACTAGATTCTTCTTTGTTATAAAGCCCAGTTCTACCTCATATATGTTTTAGAGACTTCGATCTAGGGGCAGGGATGAGCTCAGCACTTTATCAATAATCACACTTAATAGGCACAGGGAGAAATTAAAATTCCAGCTCTGCAGCCTTCTCTGCCTTCCAAGGAAAAGGGCATTAGCGCCCTCTGCAGTTGACGGTATGGATGTGCAAATGACTGTGAAATGTTAAAAAGGAACAGTTTGGCTTTAGTGTATTTTATCTACAACTGATGAGATATGTTTAGAGATGTTACAGTTTTAATTTGAATTAGGTTGGAGGGGAAAGAATCCCAGAATGCCTAAAAATTTCAAACTGCAGTTAATTTAAGAGAGGGACTTTCATTTAAAGAAAGCCTTTGACTTTGAGGAAA